AAACGATTATGGAGCTTAGTGATACCTCTGAAAGTTAAAATCTTCTTGTGGAGGGTAGTGCACAACATCCTACCAACTGGGAAAAATATCGAAACAAGGAAGAAGGATGCAACTATAGAGTGCTCGTTCTGGAGGCCAACTGATTATCGAACCCTATTCGAACTAGAACCAACCTAACGGTGGGAAGCTAGATATGCGAAGTGATGGAGAAGGTGGATGATGAAATCCTAAGGAATTTGGGATTATACTCTGGACAATTTGGAACGAACGCAACTAGGTGGAGGTGGAAACCGACTGCCAAACCGCATTTCTTGCGCTACAGAAGACGAAGCAAACGAGAACAGAGATCAGAGTTGTCGTCCGTGATCTACAAGAAGAAGCAGATAATAGGGTCAATACGTTGGCATTTTGCTAAACGGGAGGGCAACCCAGCATCCCATACGTTGGGCCATATCCATTGTAACTAGGAAGCCCAAGAGTGTTGGGTTACCAGGCCACCTATCTTCCTCCTTAATATCCTGGTCCTGGATAAGGAGACCATTAGGCAATAAATAAATAAACAGATGGTCTGATAAAGAAACGAAGATAGCGGATGATGAAGATGATGAAGAAACGAAGATAGCGGATGTTTGTAGAGAATTACGGGTCAAAGTATGCCTGGATGTTATGTTTACGATTCGCAAGGCAAATAAGCGACCCATTTTATGGGCCACATCTTATGTAACTCGGAGGAGGAGGAAATTTGGACCTCCAGACTAGCAATTTTCCTAATCCTTATTCTACATGCAGATTGTAGGATGAATTCCCAAAATACACATGTTTTTAGAAAACAATTTCCAAAATACACATGTTATTAAAAAAATCCCAAAATACACATGTTTGGGCATCACCGCCGTTGTCAACTGCAGTGAATGTATTCACCGCGGTAGACCAAAGCGGCGAATTCATCACCGCGGTTGACGGGCGCGGTGAATGCCTGACGTAACACTAAAACTTCAAACAAACGTATCTTTGCGCTCGGTTATCCGATTGTAGCGAATTTTTTTATTCCGTATAACTTTTCAAGATCTTTCAATCTGCAACAAGACTTCCGACGATGGCTTAATGGAATAACCTTCCATAGGGAAGATGTATTGGCTCGATTTGATTGGACCACAAAGAATACTCAAGGATATGCATCTGATTTCGTTAACCTCACAAGTGATGAAACTATTTCATTTGCTTTTGGTAAATTTTATTATGGTATTACTTATGTGTTTATAACAAAACTATTTGTTCTTCGTGATTCTATGAGATAGTTTCTTACGTATAATGTTTTTTTGTTACTTTTGTGGAGTTTCAAAACTGCCATTGGGGATGCTACAATGAGGAAGTCGTCTCCATCTAAGGGAAGTTTACTTTCTCTCTTTCTCGTCCCCTATGTCAGTTTCGCGTCCTTTTGCTCCTCGGACCTTTTTCAGAGCTGCCCACCTCGTGACAAAAAAGGCTCTTTCATCGGGAGTCCGGTTGCTTACGGGCTACCGTTCTTGAGTATTGTTAGTGATTTGTATTTGTTGTTCGGCCATGCCCTGGGGTCTTATCTTGGATAAAAAAACAAGACTTCATCTCAAAAAAATGTCGTTTGTTACCCCGAACGAGCAATTTTTCGATTTTGCCAAACTTTGGAAGGACATAACTTTTAGCTCCTCAATCCGAACGTGGTAAAGTTTTTTTTTTATTGCGCATAACTTTTTAAGAACTACAACTTTTACTATGAAATAATTTTTTAAAAAAGAAATATTTTTGGGTATACGGGATTTTGGGAATAACTTTGCCTTTACTTTTCACAAATCCACATACTTTCCAAAATTATGGTTATAATCAAAGTTGTAGTACTTCAAAAGTTATGCAAAATCAAAAAAAGTTTCATGACATTCGGATTGTGGAGCACAAAGTTATGATCTTCCAAAGTTTGTCAAAATCAAAAAATTACTCGTTCGGGGTAGCAAATAAATTTTTTTTGGGATGAAGGCTTGTTGCAGATTGAAAGATCTTGAAAATTTATGTGGAATCTTAAAAAATTCGCTACAATCGGATAACCGAGCGCAAAGTTACGTTTGTTTGAAGTTTCAGTGTTACGTCAGGCATTCACCGCTTTGGTATGCCGCGGTGAATGCATTCACTGCGGTTGACAACAACGGTGATGCCCAAACATGTGTATATTGGAAAAAAAATTATAACGTGTGTATTTTGAATTTTTTTTTAAAAACATGTGTATTTTGAGATTTTTTTTCCCAGATTGTAACCAACCATCCATGAATCAATAATAAGCGATCAAGGTCTTTCTATAAGAAAACAAATTTCTTAAGTTTTTCTTGACTCATAGAAAGAGGATAGAAAAAGTGAGGTTTAACCACCTAAAAGGGAAAATAGGTATATGATATTTAATGAAATTTGAAATTCAAAATGGAAAATGGAAGATTAATATTTAATGTTTTAAAAATGCAAATTCAAAGTTATAAATGTCCACTCTCTCCGTGATGACTTGCAATGTCATTATCAACGTTTATGAAATCAATTATTATTGATCTACCTCATCATTTTAACAATTTCAATATACTTATAATGCTTTACGAATTACATTATTAACTATTTTATTCAATTGCTAAAGATTTACATTTTCGCCATCAACTCTTATAAGGAAATTATCAAAGTTATGCCACATTGTCATTAATATATAACATCTTTATCAACGGTTTACGTTTTCACATCATGTTCATTACTAGCGAAATCATGGCCTCTTACTATGACTTTCAATGGCATATTAATGTTTTTCGATCAACTGATCTCGATTTATATTGTCATTCTCAGCAATCATATAACACAACGCTTATTTTCAACAACTTCGATGCCTGCGACATGCTGCACTTGTGATTCAGTCAAGCAAACATTAGTTCATGGAGGTGCAAAAACATCGGGCAAGCAAACCAACATTCAAAATCCAACACCAAACTGTTAATAATGATACAACAAACCATTTATGACAAAATTATATTTTGTTGAAACAACACAAAATTATACATAATATTCAGACTCAATGTTAAGTATCAAATATCATCACATGAATGTTGTATTTGATTCAAAACTCAAACAAAAATGTTAACATTAAAAAATGACCTCTAACAGTTAATGATGATATTGTTAATATTACCAGCTAAGTTGTGCTTTCTTGAAAATGCAAGTAAAATCATTAATAGTGACAAAATTTAATGGTTATTAATCATAATATTTTTTATTAATAAATCTTCATAAAATTAATAAAAATATACATTTTGATTATTATCGTTTTATAAATAATCTGTGATGTTTTCTGTGTTCATTATTAACAATATCTCGTATGTTTTCTTATGTAACTCATCGAATGTGTACAATGACTAGCCATTAACTTATTAACAATTGCAGGTCAAATGTTATCGATGTAACGTAATGTTCTCAACATTTATGTGTGGTATCATTAGCAATATACATAATTATGATTATTTTTAAATATTTGTTGATTTTTTGCTAACTCATTAGTAGCGATATCTAGTCATTTTTAACATAAATTGTAGATTGTTTACAATGACTATAAATTAAATTATCTATGCTTTAGGTCAATTGTTATCGATGCAACTTAACATTATCAACATTTATGCGGTGTATTATTAACGATATGCAATATCATTATTTATTATTTTCTAAATTACTTTTATTATTTACAAAATCATTATTAATTATATCTCGTCATTTTTAACACAAATCATAGAACGTTAATGACTATAAATTGTATTATTTAAGATTTAGGGCAACATTGTCAATGTTTGTGAAATGTATTATTAACGATATACATAGTAAGCTTGAATAAACACATTTCAGAAAATGAACTTCGATGTTAAGCTAGATGATTAACCGTATCATAGTATAACAAAGACACAGTAATATATGCTTATACCGAGATAAATGATGACACGTAAAATATACATTTTATCACATCGTTCTATGGCATGATTTACTTCATTTATTTATATCTTTAGCCATTTTAACTTCGATTTGCTTGATATTTGATCAAAGGCGCTTTTGATAGCCTCAAGGACTGTTTTTACACATGTAATGCCATTTTGGGTAGTTATTGTGTATTTTTAGGCCATGGTATCGTGGAAGCTCATTGTGACATGAAAGAGGGCGAAAATACGAGCGCATAGGATCAAACATAGCCTAATTCGAAGTTCATACGAGGGAGAAAACGCTCAGACAAGTTGACAACCTAAAGTAGTCAAAGCGCTAAAAAGGAGGCCCATGCACCGTTTCACACTTTAGACAACTAAAACGAACGTCATTTTGTGAAGTCGGGTATAAAAGTCTATTTTTAGGAGGACTTTGTCTCTTGACATTCCCCGGGTTAGCTTTGAAAAAAGAGTAGATAGCTCCCTAGGGTTTCGCCATAGTGACCCTCACTCCCTCTTTCCTTGTAAGCTCTCTTTTAGTTATGGATAGCTAAACTTCTATACTATCAAAATTATGTAGAACCACAGGGATGATGGATGGATCTACCTATGAATTGATGACTTTTTTATGAGTTTGATTTTATGTTATGTAGATGTTTTTCATATCAATATGATTACTTATATAATCGAAGTTGTCTTCTCACATGTTGGTAACTTCAAATGTGTTTTCTGATTTGGATGAGACTAGCTACGACCATCTCTTCACAACGATTATCAATTGATTGGGTTAACCTAACTCATCAAGAGAGAAATATGTAGAAACCATCGTAATCCGTTAGATCTAACCATCATTAGACATATTATAGGATAAATTGCAACAGATAATCGATCACTGCACATGGTAAAAACGTCAATGAAACCTAGGGGAAACATAATTTTGAATGGTAGTATTTACCTTTGTTTTAGTTTCAACCGATTTAATTTTCCTTGTTCTTGTATATTTTAGTATTTTCGTAGTCTACATTGCAACTTTTAGGTTTGACTGTTTTGAGTAATAAATCCATTAAAGAACCTTGTTTTGAATACGATATGAGTAGTCTTCATTTGATCAGTAAATTTGCCACCGTCTCACAAGAGATAAAATATAAAACTAATGTTATTCCATGCCCCGGGTTTTCGTGTCGAAATCCTACAGAACATACCAAACTCAAAACAGAAGCATTTCCAGAAAAGAGAGGGCCTCCTGGAGCGGGACAATGTCCCATCTATGAAAAAGAGGTTAGAGGTACTCATCAATTAAACATAGCCTGTTTTGCTGGTCCAACTCCCCACCGATTTACGTAGACACAAGTACCAACTTGGATGAAAGCGAAGCACTTCATGCAGAGGCAGCTGCTGCCAACAGACCATTGTGGCGTAGTAGCGCCTCCGGAGAAGGTTCACGCCCTCGGAACTCCACAAACACCTGTAAACAATCCAACAGTTAGAAGTAGAAACCAACAAAATAATCAAATTTACAAGGCCGCGTTCTACGTTCTTCGATGGACCAACATCGACAGACGAGAAAGAAAAGACAGCGCGTTCTACGTTCTCAGTATCTGACCTCCAACGGCGCTTTGCCACCACCAAGAGCGAGAACAGTTTCCCGGAATTTGTGTCCCGTCTCTTGAACAGCCTGTTCGCCCACGAGGCAAAGTGCACAGGTTAGTATCAATTTGCTTTCGGTGGTAGACGTGTGATGCTGGGGTGACAATAACATATCTCTTAAGAGACCTGACGACACCCTAACTCTTGCCGCCGAGGAATATTTAAAGATTCATTAGTGGCATCTTCTAACCCAAGGAAAAGAAATGGGTAGCTTTCTGAGGAATGGAAAACGATACCTTGTTGTCATCCAATCCAGCATCTTCAAAAGCTGAAAAAGCATCTGCAGATAATACCTCGGCCCACTGCAACCAAGATTTGGCAGTTAGAAACAGCATCAGAATATTCACAAGCTCTGCTTGGTGCATAGAGGAGGATGTTGAAATATATGAAAACAAGCCCAATCTAGGAGATATGGTCATATGGAATGGATACTTTGCATGGGACATGCAAAATCTTAAGTGGGTGCATTCCATGGTCATTAGTAGAATTTAACAGTTGACAATTTTCGTTGGGGGAAGAATTAAGATAAGAAACTAGAGGAGAATTTACCTTATAACTGTAATATCCCGCAGCATATCCACCTGCGGCCAACAAAAGCTTCACATCAATAAACGAGCAGGGGGAACTGATTTCAGCAAAACAATTGAATTGAAAAATTCAACAGCAAAAGACAAGAAAACTAGCCTGCAAAAATATGACTGAAACCACAAAGGAATCTATCTTCTGGCAAAGGTGGGATAATTTGTGTACGCTTTGAGACTCTCTGATCCACATCATAGACAGATTCCGGACCTCCTGGCACATAATTTAAGTGCAATTCCAAATCTGTTGTTGCAAATTTTAACTGCAAACATAACAAAGACACGAGTGAGCCAAAACATTGTCACCAATTACTTTAGTCCCTAAATATAATCTATCCAGCATCTAAATTCTTAAATCATTAGGCATCGGAAATCTACAAATCTTAATCAAATAAAAAAGATACACTAACTTGCTACAAATTAACATTGACCAGAATACGAGAATTTACTACCACTAACAGGCTAGAAACATTTCTAAAGGTAAGAAATAAAAAGACAAGTAAACAACATTAAGACTACCTGACGTAGACTAAGGGTACCCGCCCGATATGTTCGTGCAGCCACAAGCTTCAAGAACACCTCTTCTGGTAGGTTCTCGCCAGTTTCGTAGTGTTTCGCAATGCCCATCAAGGTTTCTCTGCAGAAATTGCATATCAACATAAGCTATTGTATCATTCTTGCGATTTTTACAAATTTGAATCAATCAATTGGCAATACCCAAACAATCACAAACCATTTACAACTATGAAGAACTAGCCCGTACATGAAAGAGCCGGAATGGTATATAAGCGTTCAAAATGAATCACTGTAATCCTCAACATGCATTCTCAACCAATGGCAGGTTATTCCACATAAAATCAAGTCAAGACATAATAAAGCCAAAAGTGCTAAACTCTGACTAACCAACCTGTGATAGCACCAATTTTCCATAAATTGAGAAGGCAATTCCACAGCATCCCACTCTATTCCCCTGATTCCAGCAACAAGGCCCTCATCCACCTTGGTAAGCATGTGTTGAAGAGCATGGCCAAACTCATGGAAGACAGTTTCAACCTATGAAAGCACATTACAACCAATCAACTAAAGCTCGTCACAAATTCTCATTTTAGTGTATTATTTCTTCAGAGAAGCATAAGTAGCAGGCAAAGTACTAAGCAATTAATCTCATACAAGATATCTGTTTTTGACTTTTCCATATAAACAAGTTAATACTAAGCAACTCATGATACTTCAGAAGCCAATGCCCAGCTCTCATAACACACTCAGCAAAGATCACTATATTTGGACATGACTATCACACATCCTGTAAGGGCTAACTGAAAATATCAGTGAGTGTATATCTTACCATTCAGTAATATTTTCCAGAATCTGAGAATGCAAAAATTATATTCCCAAGACCAGGATTAACATAAATTATAATACAAAATCAAGAAATGCTTTAAGGTGAGATTTCAGCTACTAGGTCATAAGAAAGTACCTCACTGAATGTCATAAGACTTGGTTTGTCACCAACTGGTGGTGTTTGATTGCATACCATATGCGCTACTGGTAACCTTGGACTAGTACCATTGCGTGACAGAACACGACTTCTTCCAACGACCTCATCCATCCATGCACCTCCCCTTTTCTCAGATGGACGGGAATAAGGATCAAAATAGAAGTATGCAGTTGGCGAGCCTGAGGAATCCTTGATGCAATAGAACCGAACATCTGTATTCCAAACCTAAAAGCACCAAATGTCAGGAAGGTTATTTACATACGAAAGAAACAGAGAGTAAAGGAACTCATAAAATGGAATGAAGTGTATTACAGGAGCGAGGCCATCAGCTGCTTCAATATTTATGTCAAAGAGCTTTTTCGCAAGATTGAAAAGACCATCCATAACCTTCGGTAATGAGAAATAAGGCCGCAGCTCCTCCTGTACAAATAACGACAAGTAGGAAGTCAGCTGTTTGCATCCAAATGAAAGATTGAACAGAGGCCCAATGGGAACAATTGACAGTAAACATAACAAGCAAGTCCAACTCAGCAGGAAACATTCAAATGTTAAACACAGCTTCAATGCAGGAGGAGAGACTTGAGAGGTATGTCACCTCGTTGATATCATATTTTGCCTCGCGTAGCCTCTCTGCCCAAAAGCTGATGTCCCAGTGTCTCAAGTCATCTGCTTCTGCAGCACCTTGGCTTTTGGCAAAATATTTAAGCTCTTCCAAGTCTACAACGACCAAAGAAAGTGCTTGGGTCAAGGCCATTAGAGCTCTCTTCCAGCCAGATCAAAATTGTAAAATGGTCATGTTAAGAATCCTGAACCTTGAAAGTCAGGAAAGAACTGGACTACGAGAGTGAGATGATACAATAATATAAACATACTGTCATCAGTCAAATGCTTTGCCATAACTATCACAAGTAGCACGCATGCTAAGAGGATCTCAAGCACAACACAAAAATAATGCAAAACAAGAACGTAGGGAAGCTCATAACTGTAGACACCTCATATATCATTTACCTGTAGACAGGTTTTTCTGAAGTAGTTCATTCTAAAAAGATAACGAACTTCACTAAAAGAATCAAGCATGCAGAAGGTTTTCTGGAAGGTTTGAACTTGATTGTTTAACAACAGTGAAGAGAATCGAAAGCCATGTAAAAGCGAAACTTGGTCAAATGACCTAAAACGTTTAAACTGACATGGCCTCCTACCAGGTATATAATAGGTGCGGGCCAATTACCTTTAACAGCTGCATCCCAAGAAGCCGATCGCAGCTTTTCCATAAGCTCTTGAGCTTTCTCAACTGTAGCCATTTTGGTTGCCATGCTTACCTGTAATAAACAGAGAATTAAAGACAGCTTTCATCTATATATTATTGCTGTGGAGCAACAAATTAAAGCATTGTACCTCAGCATAATTATTATAGTTAAGCAGCTTAGCCTTTTCCAGCCTAAGCTTTAATATTTGATCAATGATTGGTGTATTATCCAGATCTCCACTTGAAGCACGAGTAACATAGGCACGATAAACTTCTTCTCGCAAACCACGGTTTCGAGCATGTTGCATGACAGACACAAAACTAGGGCCATCCAATGTAATTATCCATGGTCCATCCTCACAAGTTGCCCCAGGGTGACCCTGATACAAAAGCATATATGAACCAGTCAAACATCATCATGATATTTGGCAAATAAGTTTGAAGGGAAAACAAAGCCATGGCACCCTAGATTCTAGTGGGTAACATCAGGCGTACAAGCAGAGTTCACATGATCAGCTAATATTACCTTGGATACAGCCGTCTGCGCAGCCAACCCAAGTGCAGTAGCAGGCAATCCTTCAATCTCTTTCTTATCCGTGACAAGTCTTTCAAACTTCTTTGTGGCATCCAGCACATTCTCGTCGAACTTTTGAGACAATCTCTCCAGTTCCTAGAAATAAACCAAAATTCATAAGGAAGTTCTCAGCTACGAAACTTATCGTCCTTACATGTAACTAATCTACATCTCATTAGAGATACCCCAACGCAATATTGTTCCTGCTTTCAAGACTCATCCCACCCCAGGAGGACAAATAAGGGGGGAGAAAATTTTAAACAGGCGACATTAGAACTGTACCTGCTCAACTTTATTGAACTCTTCTCTTTTCTCGTCCTCTAGAGCAACACCACTGAGGACCGCCTCCTTTATTTGGCCTGCACATACACAGCAAAGGCGGTCAAGGGTTACCCAACTAAGCTTTGTAAAAAAGAACACAATCCACATGTCCACAAGAATGGAAAACAGAAGGAATAACAGTTCAAGCGTGAGACGATAGAGAATAAAAATCAAATTAGAGCATTAACACTAGAAATCCAATGAAAATGTATAAAAACCATTGTAAAGGCAGAAAGTGCTCAAAAAAGAAAATGTAGAAAGATGCAATCTTTTACAGATGAGAAGATGACGCACGCTAAAGAAACTCACCCTCAACTATCCGCTTCCGAGCATCACTGAGATGCTGCCACTCGGGAGATTCCTGAATGGCCTTAAAAGCATTATAAATGGGTTTACTCTGTCCCAACCTGAGCTGAAACTTGACTTTGTCGGGCTGCGGACGAACATTCAAAACAGTATCCAGCGAAGAATGAGAAACAGAACAGAAGGATTTTTTTTTTCTCTCGAAATGTTTCGAATTGATCATCCATTTCCACACTTCACCTGAACTTCCTCGATAGCAGCCCGGAGCTCAGCGGTATCCTTGACCGCCTTCAGGTGATTAACCATGCCCCAAACAACGGTCAATTTATCGACAATCTTCTCCAACGGTTCCACCAGCTTCGACCAAGTCGGCTCCACGGTCCTCTCCAGTTCCTCCAGATCATCCTCCTGAACGCACAGCTCAAGAAAAGTAAACAAATCGAACAATTACGCACAAACAACCAGAGAAAAGAGAGAGAATATGCTTACGAGCTGCTTGAGCAGAGCGCGAACCCCAGGACGGACATGGTCGGCCTCGACGGAATCAAACGGAGGGAACTCGAAGTCCTTCAAAAGAGGGTTCTCAACATCCGCGGCAGCAGCGACGGCGGCGGCCATGGCAGATGGCGGGGAAGGAAGGGGAGTAAAGGAAGAGTAGCGGCGAGGGGAATGGGAGAGGGACAAGACGGGGAGAGAAGAGGTAGAGAAGGAGGAGGACGAAGAAGAAGAGAGGCAGAAGGAGAAAGAAGCGGACCAGACGGGACAGGGACGAGATTTAAGAGGACGATTGAGGGCAAAATGGGGAGACTGAGTCAGGAACCGAGTCGGGTGTTTGAGGATTGGGTGAACGGAGCGAGAGAGCGAAAAAACTGACGCCATTAGAGTGTTGAGCAACAAGAAGACTCGGAAAACAATTTTGTACTGCTGCTCGGGTTCCACGCATTTTTTTTAATTTTTTTCATTTCCCCTCTTTTGGCCGCTTCTGATTTTTTTTTTTTTTTTTGTCATAGAAACCCTTGCGGATTAACTAGGTAAGCACGAGATAGCCACAATACAACGGCTTCTTCGTGAAATGATAGTCAAAGCAAATAAGAACAATCAAAACGAACACAACAAGATCCAGAGTAGCATAAGGCATTACGCGCCACAACATGGGCAGCCCGATTTGCTTCTCTAGGAGTAAAAGCAACAGAAACCAGTGGCAAATCTTGCAACATAAAGATGACCTCTCGTAAGATAGCCCCCACAAGGGCATCATTGGCATCAGAAGCCTTCAAATGTTGAACAACCACAAGAGCATCACTTGTAATCACAATCGGTCGATCCTGCCACTGCCATTGTCGAAGTAGTAAAACAGCTTCTCTAATTGCCAACACCTCCATGATCTTGGGATGAAAAATGCCTGGAAAGAAACCACCCATTGCAAAAACTGGCACATTCTGATCCAAACCCACTATGCCAATTGCGCCATGAGTCGGAGCACTCGTCGCCCCATCAACTGCAATGCGAAAAGTAGAATGCAACGTCGAACGAGGATAAGGCTGAGGTCTGGGTGGCGGTGACTGATTTGGTTGGATGGCAATTTGATGAGTGGCATGATGAGATAATAGGTGACGGTACAAGGCAGCAGTGGTAAATTGTGCATAGGGTGGAAAGACAACATTATTCCGCCCTTTCCAAATCCGCCAAAAAAAGAGGACCCAATTTATTACGGTGGCATGATCGGAAAGCATGATGTGTCTTAAAAAGATGGACAAATGTGTGCTTGAAGAAATCCCCGGCGGCAGATGTAAACCACACCGTTGACGGAAATGAACTGCAACACGACACCCAAGGAATAAATGTTCCAGCGATTCGCCTTCATCTGAACCGGGTCTCCGCGAAGAAATGGATTTGGCTGGTCTCGAAGGTAATCTACACCGTTAAACGAAGTGAGTTTTTGACTTTTTAGTTTTTATCATATGGAGGAAATTGGGGAAGGAGCATCTCGGCCGGTTTCAAAATTTAGTTTAATATAATTATTACTTATTTTATTTTATTTATCTTAACTTACATTGTCGTTGTAGGGAAAATTTCCGCCACGTAAGACATGGTAAGTTCCATCATTTTCCCTGTTATTCTTACTATTTTAAATTTTTTATAATTTTTACCATTTCACTAAACTAAAATCAAATAAATATATACTAATCATCTAAGATTTGAACCTGCAACCTACGAGCTCTAATTATTATCACTTCAACTATTTAGCCAATATGATAAATTATATTTGATGATATTAGTCTTTTTTTTAGTGAATTTGATGATATTAGTCACAACGAAATAATACTCATGTCATCAATTAGGTTTAAACCTAACCTCTGCATTTGATTTTTTTTTAATTTATCGGTTAACATCTCAATTTTGAAAACATGCATCTATCTTCTGCATAAATTGTAGTACGAGAAATGTAATGGATAAGTTATATTATCTATTTTCTATCCATCATAAAAATCATTAACCGCTAAAAAGAATTTTTGCTTAATTTAATTATTTTCAAAATTTGAAAAAATTAAAAATAATAAGGTGAAAAGTATACCTTTATGTTAAACAAATTTAATATTTAATTTAATATTTCATGTCATGTTAATTTGAAATTGAAAAATGAGAAATAAGAGAATAACCTTCTTTTATATCTAGAACACCAAGAATATCATTTTTGTTTATACGTATGATCATAAATATGTGAACTAATACACTTATATTCCAATTTATTAGAAATATAACAACATTTTTATGTGCTTACTACAACATTTGGAGATAATATTAAAAATTGAAAATGTTGTCTTGCTAAGCAAAAAGACATTATCGCAATCACATATTCGTGTGACATATTCATATACATAAAATTACTGAAATATACCAAAATAGTTCAGCCATGTGTCACCATGATACACAACAAGGTACATATTAATTGGTAAAAGAAGTTCGGGAAAAATCAAGGTAGTATTTTTCTTCTCTAGGGGTTGAATTTAACATTTCTCACTTATTAAAAATGATATCATTAACTTTTCCCTAATGCAAATTCAAAATTTCCCTTTTTTTACATTATTTCATTCTTTTTTCAGGCTCTCATCCACAATTATTCAAACAATATTTTTACTTTTCCCCTAACGAAATTCTAATATCTTTCTTTTTCCTTTTTATCATTCATAAATGTTAAAGATAATTAGAATAATAGTTGTATAGTTTGGATGTGTAGGGTTGTAACTACACCTTGATTATATGCTCATAATATGCAGTTGTCTTTCGCTTTTGTTTATCTAAACTATATTGATTTCTTGGGTGCTTAATTACCAAAAATGTGGATCTTTCACTCTTTGATCTACCTCAAGTACATGTCATTATTTTGTTTGTTCTTATGCACACAAAAAAGTACAACACGACCAAAGAACTCTAACGTTCTAAAAGTCCCACTTTGTCGTAAACAAGGAAATTTAAACTTCTTATAACTCAACCACCCTCTCAATCCTTAAGGTTTTATTAAATTTAGATATCAAAATTGTAAGACATTCTTGGGAGTGCATAAGGATCTATAATAATATATTAGGCTTTAATTTAATGAAAATGATGTGCAACTTATGAAGTAGAAATTTTTTGGCCAATTAAAAATAGAATGGTCTTGAATATAATCTTCCAACGTCTATATGAAAGTCACAACTCTTATTATTTGGTAATATTGCCGATTCACAAAACCAACACAAAATATATGTCCCTTCTATAAATTGAAACTCATATAATAAATAATAAGAATAAACAAATATAAAACTAGAAGTCGCACACCATTTGATATAAATAATAATAGATTAAATAAATCAAAGAAACCCACCACCCATCGGGCGGGCACAAAGCTCGTATATAAAAGGGGAGTTCCACTTCTATCCAAGATTTGCTGAAATGTGGATTTCAATTCAGCAACTGCGATATAATGGCTTTGAGTTTGAAAAGATTTGCTGAAAAATGTAATAATTTAATATTATATATATATATATATAGTTCAGGCTAGCGTACGTCCGGGCATACGCTAATTAACCTTAACGTACGCCCCTGTTCACACTTACTAACATTTTTAATTAATTATAATAAAATTAATAATTACTAAAAGTACAATTACAACTACCCTTATTAATTTAATTTTAGTTACTATTTAGTCCCAAATGATTTTTTATCGTGATTATACTTAATTCAATCACAATATATATCTTACATAAAATTTTCGATACCGTAATTTTTAATAATCTTGATTTATAACCCACAAATTTCTTATTGCAAAAGTAGTTCCATCTTTATTTGAAAGTTATAAAATTCCATCCAAGTTGTTTTCATTAGTCATTTAGAATTTACCACTAAACCTGATGTTCATTTTTTTTATTTGAGAAAGACTCCACACTCACAGAAGCACAGACCATTCATCTCCTATGTACGGTCCTACCTCTTTTTACCATCTTCGTTCCCCATCTGCCTTTCTCCTTCATCTTCGTCATTAATCGAGCAAACTCATTCTTCGCCGCCCGAGGGAGTTGGAGAGGCCGGTGGCGATTAGGAAAGGATTTCGAATTAGAGATCTGCAGGGCGACAATCGCGCCGGGTAATAGAACCAGCGGAGAGGGAAGACCGGATCTTGGTCACATCGTCGTCGGGTCCCTGGCATCGCTGAATTCTTCTTACCGGTTGACGCCCTTGGAGAGATTCCAAAGTGGAGTGCCGACTTCGCTGCAGCGGCCCGAATCCTGATATGCTCAGACCCACGAGCTTTGAGTCCAGTCGAGCAAAAACTTCAAGAACTTCAACGTGCAAACAAAAACAAGGCAAGAACAGGGAAAACGGAGCTGGAAGGTGCAACTTCAACACCGACTTACGGGGAAGAGGCTCGATCCAACGATGGTGCAACTCGTCCATGATTGATGTGGTGAATCAATCGATGCTGAGCTCGCTTATTGATGGACTTGAATCCACGCAACAAGGACAATCAAAGAGCTTGAAAAGACTCGATGACAAGGGTTCTTTTATTAAACTTCGACTGCCGATTACAACTTAATAAACTTCCTTATATAGCTAGCTAGAATAACTCGATTAACACCCTCCTAAACCTACTGGGACTCGACAAACAATCCTCAAACAGAAAAGGAATAAAACTCCAACTCAAACAAGGAAACAAGAACAATTATGTCGTAAGGTCCAAGTCACCAAACAACCATCGATACCATCTTAGCGGCTCTCAATCAATGACTTCCAAGCATCCCACCGATTATCCAATGCCTCTCCTTTGTAGAGTAAAATACGTATTTTCGTGTGGATGGAAGTTCCTCCTTCGAATCGTTCCCATCTGCCATGAATGGAGCTCCAAATCTGCCTTCCTGACCATGCTTCCAGACTTAGCCAATTTCTGGCAGTTTGCCAGTTTCGAGATAGCTACTTTAAGGTCTTGAACAGTAGTCTTAATGACGTCGTTTGAACCCGAAATCCATACCAACTTGTTCAGGAAGTCTTCATCTTCAAAACGACGCCCTAAACTCTCATTTATACCAACCCAATCGGAAGATTCGAGCTCGCAAAGTAGGCTACCCGAACTCGTCATAACACTTAGCCAAAAACTCAGGTTGCGCAAATGAGTTGGCTTAACTTCTTGAACGAACAAATCGAGCTTGGAATGGAAGCAATTTAAGCTCATATCAGGCTCCCCCTCTTCAAAAAGCTTTGTCCTCAAAGCTGGATCTTTCTTCTTCTCGAAATCTGCACAAAAATCAGACCAAATCGGGTCAAAAGATGGCATTCCAAACTCCCTTTTCTGCAATTTGAAAACAGTGTTCTTGAGCAGCTGGATTGGGAATTTTCGATTCTGGTCTTGCCACTCCAATTCAGTGCTCCCACGAGGTTGGCCACACCTCCAATCGACTTCCTGGACCACACTTGT